TGGCCACGGTGCGTGGGTATGCTGCAATCGCAGACGGGCATGCTGCCTTGGGGCCGTAGGTGCTGCAGCTGAAGAGCTCGGCTTTCTGGCAGAGGCTGGCATGGCTTTCCGGAGTTTGGGAGGTGATAAGCTTGGAATGGCTTGGATTTATTGTGCCGCATGGCGGCTTGTCCTGCCCATTCCAGAGCCCTATGTTATTCTTGGCTTGGTGCAGTCCTTGCACTATGCTATGGTGCAATCGCATCGACCCTTGATGACTCCTGTCAGCGATCGTCAATGGCTTCATCCATGCGGTGCTTGCGGCAATTGTAGCAAAAGTTGATGTTTTATTCGTTGATCTGCCGATCGCGCCTGCTGACAAAAACACTGGTCGTGCTGCCCGATGACGATGACGATGACGATGACGACGACGACGAGGATAAAGAAGAAGAAGAAGAAGAAGAAGAAGAACCTGATGATGATGACGATGACGATGACGATGATGATGATCATTATGATGATGATGATGTTGTGGATGTGTTGCTAGTGCCGTGGGAGAGTTTCGCCCTGCCCGATGCTTAGTAATGGCAAGGCTGGTTCGCAAGCCTTCCGTTTGGCAGTTTGCTAAATCTTTGATCTTGGAATCAGGCTTTTGGCAGCAGTTGCGCGAGCAGCGTTGGGAGGAACCTTGTGTTGGAGCATTGATTTATTTCCCACGCAGTGCATGTGACTACTGGCGCTCGGCTCACTTCATGGAGACAAGAGAGCAAAGATGAACAAAGCACAGAACGGTGCGCTTCACGACTTCATGTTTTCACTTGCTGTGTAGTGCGTATGTCCCCTTTTCAGGCGGCGAGCTCCTGGGAGGCCGCTGAGTTGCTGGGCGCCGTGCCTGGCGCGGCAGCGCGCGCCGAGGCGATGCACCCTCGGGCTACGTTGCCGGGTACGGCTGGAACATTGTGTGAGTTGTCTCATGCCTTACACGTCCAAGTTGCTGCATGACTCACATGACCTTTCCGTGCTTGCAAGTGAATTGCTGCGAAGGCTTGCAGGGAGAAGTTGCACAAGTTTTTCCTGGAGCAGCAGGCCAAGCGCGGCACAGGCGCTTTGACATGTTTGATGAGAGGTTTAACAACTGGCAGCATGGTTCTAACCATACTTACATGTTGCCGCCCAAGAAAAGACAAACAGATCCAACACCTGAACGGCATTCACTCAAAGAGGGTCGAAAGAAGTCAGACATGTCAAATGCAGCTTCCCCTGCGGCAGATTGAAACGTGTCCTTGCAAGACGGTTGCATGAGAAATGCGATGGTAAGTGCCAAGGGACCGCAGCAAACTACGTTAGGTGACCATTTGCACGGAGCAGGGCTTTGCGTGTTTTACGTGCGCCAGGTGCTGGACAAGGGGCCGATCCGGAAGATGGCTGGCGGCGAGACTTGGCCAGACATGGCGTACCAGCTAACGAGGCTTACATGGCATTCGATGCGGAAAGTGAGCCACCCCACACCATCACCAAGACGAATGGGAGATTGTCACAGGAGAAGTGCCATAATTGAGGATTGGGGTTGAGTGATTTTGCTGGAACATTGTTTTCTTGTGTTCGTTGGGCCTTCGTAGGTCTTGGTAGCTTATATGTGGCTTTTGCGGAGCTTGGCTTGTGGCTTGTGGCTTTTGCTGCCGCAGGTGTTTGGCTTTCCCCTAATTGAAGCAATCCGATAAACTCCTGCAATTAAATTAATTCCGCACTCGCCCTAAAACTCTTCTACCCCCAAATTCACACGAAATTTGCCCCGACCAAACTTCGAGGCAGTCTATCCTAAGCACGCCCAACCTAACCTTTGCGACGGCTAAAGGGGTTTGCGTCAAAACAGGGATACCCAACAAAATCGTGCTTTTCCTTTTGGTTTCCCTCTGAAAAATCTCCGAACCCCCGACCCCAACACCCTAGACGAACTCGAAGCCACCCCCTACCCTTCAACAAACCAGACCGTTTCCAGCCTGCTAAGCCAATCCTGAATCGAGCCTAAACCCACCAAAGCTAACCTCAACCAACGCTTGACCCTCCCCATGTCCTCAATCAACCTCGACCGTACTGCAACTAGACCTACCCAAGATTCACTCGAACCAAGCATGGACATCGTAATCCGTGTGAGCTTCCTGCCGCCAAGGGAAGCCGAGACTCAAGTACAAGAAGGTTGCACATTAGTTCTAGAAGACCGAAACCTTGGAAGCAACAGCACGAAGCAAATCAACACCCGATGAGGACCCTGATGTGCAAGATGCATTCATTTTGCTTGCTGATTGCCTGCAAGTGTTGTTGCATGCCATGTATGTCAGGCAATGGCTGGCAAGGAAGATATGCATCTTGGAGACATTGGAGGAGCATTTGTGAGGGTTTTTGACTGGCTGCCGATTCGCAACTTGGCAGAATCTCCGCAGCAGTTACTCAGCGCATGCTGCATGAACAGGACGGGCAATGTCAATATGCCAGCAATCACCTGGCAAGCAGGCAGCGTCAGCAGCAACGGAGCCGAACAACGCATGCCGATCAGTTGCTATTAGCCCCCCCCACGCAGCATCCGTACAGTCCACAGCCAAGTTATCGGTTGTTCTAGTGGCTGATGTTGTTTCCTTATGTTTCCTTATGCCTCAGCCAAAGCAAAACAACTGTTCAACTTGCCAGTCGTAGCACAGGGGACTCACACCCCAAGAGGCCGCGTCCACTCGCCCATGGCGCCCAGTCTCCCTGCGCGGGGAAGGACAGAGCGGCTGGAGCTGAAGGTGAAAGATCCTGGAAGCTACCAGCCAGGGAGACAGGCCCGTCATGAATTCATGAACCCAGCATGGCCCCATCATGGCCCTATGGCTCTGACATGTTGAGACTTGCCCTGAAGACTTGCAGTGATGTGCCACAGATTTGGAGCTTGCAATTGCGCTCATTTTTGCGCAGTAGTGCAAGAAGCGAAAGCCTCCAAAAGCCAGCATGGTGCCTGTGTGAGCGCTCAATGTGGTGCTCCTATGGCGTGCTCTGCAGGCCTGGGGATAGCGCAGGGGAAAACGCGTCCTGCTCGGTCGCTCCGTGCCAGGTGTGGTCCCCTCTCTCCGGCCCTGCCAATGCCTGGCGCTGCAAGCTGGCGGTTTTCCCCAGGGGGGACCGAGGGGATCCCAGCAACAAGATCCCAGAGCTCGCGGCCTATGTGCCCTCGGCTTTGCATTGGCTCATCTCTTGGTTTAGCTTCCGTGCGCAGAGCCTTTCCTCAGTTGCATGGTTTGTGGACTTGGGGATGCTCGGGGCTCCAGCCAGTGTGAATCTTTTCTCTTTGGGTTGGCTGACGGTGCTGGTGGCGCTGACGGTGCAGCCGGTCGTGCTGAGGTGTCCCTGCACCCGCCGCCAGATTTGGAGAGGCGCGAATGGACCTGCAAAGATGTGGAGTGCTCCATTTCAGTGCGCAACAACCTGAACCCCGAGCTTAGCGTCACTCGGCACACCACCGTCACCTTCAACAACACGAAGCAGCTGGGCTTGACAGACGAAGCGTTACACATTCACAGCTGGTGCAAGTGGGGAGGAAAGATGACCTTTGAAAAGCAAGAGAACTTCCCACAACCGCCGTCAGATTTTGCCTTCCTGTGTCGCGCGCCTTTTGTCGGGTTCTTCCACCCCTGCAGGCACGCTGCAGGTTGGCGCACCGGTCTTCTCAAGAGCCGCTTCATGAACACGAACAATGGTTGGTTGAACGAGGAGGGTGAGCTGATCATCCAGGCCCACCCAAGGGCAGAAGCCTGCAGCCATTCACATATTCTATATATGTGATAGATATGTAACACACACACACACACGCACATGCACATTCATGCATGCACCAAACCTTATCAACGGGGCAACCATCAACAAAGAAGGCCGCATTGGCTTCAAGACCTACCCTGTTTCTTACCACACGATAAGGCCTGCAAACGCCGCCAACGTCCCCAGGTCACATTCATGAAACGATCAAACTTGAAAACCCTGTCCTAAAAAACCTGTGTACATTTATTTGGTGGCTTTAAAGGGAGACCAAACGGAGGCCCGGTTCAGTCGTTTCCGCCCACCAGGCAGAGGTGAAGCGGCTGCCTACGACCGAGTCGCTGAGCGTGGACTTCAGCAGTTTGGACTTCACCGAGGCCCTGGGCCCCGTGACCTTCCACCTGGCCGAAGGCGCACGAGACGAGACTTGGATCTCCGTGTGGCCGTGTTTGGAGTATTTTGGAGTGTGGCCACAAGAGGAAGGTGCTGTTTGGCCCATTTTCAGCAGACGCTGTGACCTTGATTCATGGTTTTGGGCGTGCGTTGATCAAATAAGCAGGGGCCAGTGGAAAACCAATGAAGATGATCTGGAAGAAAGGGATCCTCAGACATCCTGGTCAAGGTCTTTGCAGGTGAAGCAGAAAACAAGGGCAAACAGCTAATTGCAAGCTGCAATGGTATGAACAATGAATCAGTGAAGCACCTGGCATGAACCACTCATGGTCAGTGCTTCCAAGGGCATGAATCAGCCGGCAGGGCCACCTTTGCTTTTTGACAAGCGCCTGCTGGTGGCGCGGTCCGAGTACTTCCGGGAGATGCTTTGCAGCCCCTGGAGAGAGTCGCGCACTGGGGAGATCGACCTAAGGTGGGCACTCCATGTTGGCGCTTGTTTGATTAGTTGCTTTTTCGCCGGGGGCTCGGTACTTGAGAATTGGGAGTGAGACGTTCATAAGGGACATCAACTTGTCTTCGAGGGCTTTGGTTGCCGCTGGTTGGTTGCTCATTGTTCAAGGTGAATGCAGCAATAATTCAGAAGATCACAAACGCAGCGGCAGCAGGTAGCAATTAAAGCTGCGAGGCTGGTTTGCTTGAACACGGATTGGCAGTCTGATTTCAGGCCACTTTTGACAACGCTACAGGCTGCTCAAGGTGCGCTGCCTGCCAGGTCTGATTCCCTGGCGACGACCGAGTCCGTATCGACTCTGCTTCTCTTCATTGTCTCAGACAGCTACCAGGCTGACGGCTTGGGGCCGCCTACGGTCCCACTCACAGTTGTCCTTGTTTGTTAGGGCAGCGCATTCAAACACAACACATTGCAGACCCTTGTTTGATGAGTTGCCTTCCTTGTGGGCAACACCATCCGAATTCCCATGTGCTTGTTGCAGCCAGTATGTCAGCTCGGTGTTGGCATCAATGGGAAGGCCTTGCGTCGCTTGTAGGCGTACGGTGGGTCACTAGTCTTTTGTCTCCCAGATTGAATGCGTGCGCCCCCTAAGTGGTGTACAAGCTCAGGAAGTTAACAAACAAGTTGCAGCGGTTTAGCCTCCTTTGTTGGCGTTTCCTTGTTTTGGTTTGGGGTGGCAGGCGCAGGGCAATGAAGAGCTGGCATTTGCAGTGCGAATGCTTGCAGACCGCTACCGCCTGCACAAGCTGGTGGATCAGGCCAGTGTTTGTTGCATTTCCCCGTAGCTTCGATGCGGTGGGTAGGTAGGATGGCTTGCGGTGCGGTTTGCTTTTAGTGGCGGGTTCTAGCAGTTGTTCGTTTTTTGTGGCTTGTTGCTTTGATGATGTTTGACTGTTTTGAGTCTGTTCAGAAAGAACAGCTGCATGCAGTGAGTTGTCACGGCTTGACAACTGGCCAATAATTTGGTTCGAAAGGCACGGAGTGGCAAGCCTTGTAGGAAATATGAAAACCGCTCGAGGATGAGCTTCCCGCCATTGCGTTCTTGAGCAGTGCCTGGCACTTTGTTCGGCCACATTCTGCCTGCCAGACGTCCCAGGCTCAAAGTCTTGGTCCGAGTATCAGACTTGTCAGGTGGATGCTGAGCTGCACACGCTTCTCAATGAGGGGAATGTGCTCAGCTTCCTGGGCCGCCTCTTCGGAACCAACAGTGTCCTGGAGTCCACGTGCCTGGAGATGATCGAGGAGAACGGCGCCACCATCTTCGAGGAGCAGCAGGGCAAGCTGGAGCAGCTCATCCAGGATGCCGTACACATCCGCACACCATGGTGCACAAGGGTTAAGTGGCCTTGCAATAAACAGCACATAGGGAAGCACACCCTGAATTGGTGTCAGTCAAGACTAAGGCGACGGCATCCATGCCAGATGCCGCTCCGAGGAGTCGCGAGGATTGCACGATTTATAGTTGTCAGGAGAACCCTGGCCTTGCCAAGAAGCTTATCATGCTGGGCTTCCGGTGCAAGAAGCGTGCCCGTGAGGGTGCGGAGTAATTGATCATTGCACGCAGTGTGCTGCATGTTGCGCAGCGCCATGCTGCCAATGGCGGCTGCAAGCTGCGCACGTTGCGCTTGTACATTTGCGAAATATTGCAGCGATAGGCAAGCGGCAGATGTCAGATTTATTCAACAGATTTGACGGACTGCACTGCCTACTAGTGCGGATGGAGTTGCTCTTGTTGTGGGCCAGCTGCCTGCCTATTGAAGTTGAAGCTGCAGACAACTAGCCTCCGGGCGCGCAGTTGCGAAAAGGGTTTTGGCACACACCGGACAGTTCAAGTGCCATGCAACGCAAGCCATGTAACCCATACGGCCCATACATGATGTAACCCATACATAGCCGCTGGTTTATAGCCAAGCAGGGGCTGTGGTGTCCGGTGATTTGGGATGCAACTGGGGTACGTCCTCAGGGGTGCACGCCATCAGACCTTGAGATGCCTTGATCATTGCACCCAGCAAGCTAACCCAGTCAGAGAACCATACCTATGAGCTGTGGGTGTGATACATGGGTTCTTTTGATAGATGCGGTCGGCATTCAAGCAACTCGGTTTACGTTTTATGAAAAATAAAGGACTCCAAGTGTTGTATCATCCCTTCATGTGCAGCCCCTTAGTCTTACTGGATTCAAGCGAGGCAGCACGTTATCTTCCCCCTTTGATTTTTGGACATGCAACCTGAGCTCAGGCAGGTGGGTCAGCTGGCAGCTTCTTCGGTCAGGCTGAGAACTTTGATCGCCTGGGGGGCGGGGTGGGGGAGGGGGGGTGCTTGCATTTAGCTGTTTGTGCTGTTGAGTTGTCGCCGCACTTTTGTGCCTTCGGTTGGCCCCCTCTTTAAATTGTTCGCAGTTCCAACTTGTCCTTGTTTGAAGGTGGCTGCAAGCTTCGCCTCATTGATGTGATTGAGACAAGGTTTGGCTTAGGCAATCTGCCCGGGACGCCCTAGCCCAAGCGCAACCGCACACGCCAGGGCTCCAGCGCCAGCCCAGGCTTGAGCAAGGCTTTGGAGCAGCACCTGAAGGCAGGACGAGCATCCGAAGCCGGACGTTCCCACAGATTTGTGCTGACTGGTGACCCTGGTGGCATGTGAAATGTAACTCACATCCACTTCGAAAGGGGCCATAGTGACCAGCTCCACAAGTGCTTCAGTGGCAGGGTCCGATTGTTCAGGTGCTCGGCCTTCCTGCGGAGCTGCCCAGCGCAGAGGTGGTGCGCAGCGCCTACCGCACCACGGCAAGTTGGGAGGGCGCCGACGGCAGCCGCACTTGTCTTGTGCTGGAGCCCGAACAGGAAGCAGCGGCTGTGACGGTCAGACAGCCGTTGCCACACGATTTTGAGAAAGGAATTGTCGCGCCGTGGTAGTCACGGCCCTCGCAACCAAGGCAAGCTGGCTCTCACCGTGCACCCTGACAAGCCAGGCGGCTCCAAGACAAAGTTTCAGGACTGCAATAATGGGATGCATTTTGCTGCGGACTGGCAGAATACTCAAAGAACGAAAGAACAGGACATTCCGACATTCCTTTTGAGCTGGGCCGTGCATTGGCGAAGCCTGACTTTGGGTAAGTTGTCAGTCTGGACTTCTGTGTTCTCGCAATTTTGTGGATCAATGCAATGCGTACCATAAGCCTCTATATATATATATATATACATATGGCGTTGAGAGAAGTTGGCCATGTTGGCCTAACAACTTGCAGCTGGAGTTTAAGCATTCATATACTATTGCACCAGTTCCCCAATTCCATTCGAGCGGCTTGCGGAGCTTTTCGGTCTAGAGTGATGTGGTTGCTCATGCGGTTTTCTGTCGAAAACCCTTGCCACAGGAGCTGCAAAATGCATACGAGGCAGTCCTGAAGGCAGTCTCCAGCTGCTGAGGTTGCCATTTTCCAGCGCTGTCACCGGGAGTCATCGGGGCAGAAAGCTGTCGATGGCGGACTCGTTGTTTCCGTCAATTGCTTTGCGCCAAGCACATCAATAGAGCAAGTCGTCTTGGCCGAAGCGCCTTGCTGTCAAGCCGTGCAAACATCTTTGCAGTGCGTTTGTGCGCAACGTGATCCTACCCACTTCCTTGTACAGCTTGTGGAGCGCAGAGGCAAAAGGCGGCTCTTTTTAAGCTGAAGCGATGCCAGTTTGCAAGTTTACCAACACTCTGCAGGTCAAGTTCCTAGGTGGCTTTGCAAGACTTGGTAGAAAGGCATAGAATCAGAGTTCTGTGGGTGATGGTGCCCCTATGGGACCCGGTTATGCATTGCCATGGTCCCAAAGCCCTGAATTTTAAGGAGCAACCCAAACTTAGCCCTCGGCCCTGCTTCAATCCACTGAACTTGGCCCTGAACGCCAAATCTACGGAAGCCAATGCACCAAAGCTAGGCAGCGGCTGTTCCGGCACATGCAATGCATGTTACGCGTGTCTTTTTTTTTGGTTGGCCTCTTGACGAAGCCAGAAAGTCCAGTTCCGTTTCAACCTGTTCTGGCTACAGGGACGTGGTTTCTTCAAGGTACACTGGAGAAGAGCTGGAAAGTGGATGATGCTCGAATTTGTTCCTTCCGAATTTAGTTGACACTACGCAGATTGCAGAGCTTTCAACTGTCTGAGGCCGGGTCCCGTGCGCACGCTGCGCTTCTGCCAGGTGCACTGGGGGGACGGGGTTGGAAGTTCTGGCACCTTTTGGGTCAGTTGATGTAGTGGCGGCGGTTCGGTTCTCGCTTCCGGCTCGGTTCCGGAGCCTTCCTGTGTTAGGTGTTCTTTTTTCCTAGCCGCTAGCCTGACTGGGTGGCATGCGAGTCAGCGGTTTTTGCCATTTGCGTGGACAGCTTGGGGATAAACAGCACACAGCACGGGACAGACTCAGGGCTTGCAGGCAGGATGCAAGTGGGAGCTCAGAGAAGCTGAGGCACTTTGCGTGTTTGATCCAGCCTGAACGAAGCACATGATGCACGGCTACGCATGGCGCTGAGATTGTGGCCATCGTACATTTATGGTGGCTCAAAAGCAGAGCAGCAGATCCCTATATGCAGCACACGGACTCGACCTTTGACACAGCGCCCACTGCGAACTGAGGGGAAGCAGGCCTTAGGCAGCTGGAAGTCCGGAGCAGCCCCCGGCAAGATCCGAAAAGAGATTGGCAATCGCGATCAAAGGCCCAAAATTGGAGGGTGCCTGTGCAAACAGAAGACTATGAGAGCCAGTTTGCTTATAGACACAGTCGACAGAGTACGGCGCTGATCTCAGCTATTAGAGCCAAGTTAGGTTCCACTGGGATTCGTGCTGGCGCCTCTGCCGCTTTTTCCAGCAGCTATGGAGGCAGCGAATGGCAAACGGTGGCATGGTTGCACAAGCGATCGCGATCCTATCTATTGTTTATGCTGCGAGTTTTGTAGACTGGCTATTGGTCTAGCTGCGTCCGCTTTGTTGAGGGGCATGGCCAGCGCTGGCACAATGCTTTCTGCCCAGGTCAGATGACACCCTTGGCCAAGCCAAGCGCCTTGTTTGCAGCGCGCTAGCATCGGGGTCCACGAGCAGTGAAACTTGACTTCAGATTTCCTTGCAGGGGTGTCCCACGGATTTCGGATTCAGAACATGGAACCGGAGCCAAGGCATAGCTGAATTGCCGCAGCTGCATAGCCAGATTTCAGGAAGGGATAGAACAATCTAGAGCACAAGGCAATTAGCGCCCTCAAGCGCGACTGATACATAATACGGTTCGTGTTAGTTTCAAGTTGCTTCTCAGGAAGGGAAAACCAACACCGCGTGGCAAACCAAGAGCTACGAAACTAATTTCCGC